ACTTTTCTGGGCTAAAGAAAACTACAATTCATACAATTTATATGAAATGAACTAGTGAAAACATCATGAGGATTATTCTACAGTAAATCTCTGCCAATAGATCCCTTTCACCTAAATCTTACACACCGGACTCTTAAAGGATACTAATATTCAGAATTATTAAAGTTGGACATTAGTGTTCATCAGAAGTAGAAGAAACTATCAAACTGCTCCATTAAGCAGTGTTGTGCTTAGAGGAAGTTGTGAGTGGATTTACATGAGATGTATGACACTAAAATATGCATCAGAATTACAAACTGACAACTGAGAGGGGGTGTGTGAAGGCCAATGGAACAATTTGTCAAGAAGCCCAATCAGAGACTGAATTTTTAGTTTTTGAATTGATTTTATATTATGTCAGGTTTAGTTATATTTAGTTGATTCGAAAAACAAAATCTAAAATAATCTACAGAGGGTGAAAATATCAAATTTCTCTGATTGTCCACAGCAGCTTCTTCTAGTGTAAAGCTGATCAAAATGTACAGCTGATAGTGTGTGTATGTGTGATGGGAACCAGTATACATAATAGGTAAATGTGAAAATGTTCAATTTGTGCAACAACACTTACGTGAATCCCAGACATGATGAAGGGAGTTGGGCAGCAGGTGTCCTCAGGCAGGAAGCGGTCACTGTTCAACTAGTACCATCAGAGCTGTAAATAAAAAGATGCAAGGCATTAGAGATACCACCAATAATAGGTTAATCTGAATGAATGTATGCTAGAATCTTAACAAATACATTACAGATATGTCTTTGCACAATATGTATGCAAGAAAAAAGCTGTCTTTTAAAAAGTACAAGTTAACAGAAAGCAAATATTTCCTCCTACACAGGCAGAAGAATGACCATTATGATGTTACAGTAAATGTATATACACTTCCTCTTTAGTAGGTGGGTGGTTTAACAGACTGAAAAACTAGACTTGTGAGCTATGATGTGGATATGACTTTCTCACTGGTTCTGGTGTAGAAAACATGTTATTATCACATCACAATCAGAGAAACAAGCATTAGTGAAGCTGAGCATGTTAACCAGAGATGATTGAACCCTGATTATGTGTAATAATAAGAACAATAATTATCCCATAGTTG